ATCTATCTATCTATCTATCTATCTATCTATCTATCTATCTATCATCTTTCTTTCTATCTATCTATCCATCCATCCATCCATCCATCTATCTATCTATTCTATCATTTCTGTCCCATCTGTTATACTCCCATTGACAATATCTGTGTGAATAATTTTACACAGAGTATTAATGGCCCTGCAAATCAACAACTGTTTCATCAGAATAAGAGTTTGTGGTTTAAGTTGGAGGGTTATGAATTTCCCTGCCTGATTATTACAGGTTGAAATAAGTTTATTTTTAAAAAAATCTGCCTATTCCGCAAATATGTCCATTTTGCTTCACAAACAAGCACTTTCTTGAGAACCTGCAGGATGCCAAACACCCCCAGCTGACCAGACTGAAACTTGTATACCACATTGCGAAAGAAACCTTTTTTCTTCACCTTGAAACCCCTATTTGAAGCACCATAAATTACAAACAGCTTTAGGTGAATTGAAAAGTCTGTAAACATTCACAGCAAGAGAGAGAGAGATTTTGTGAATCGATTTGCAAGTTTTTATAGCAACCTTTAGCACTCAGAGTGTCCATTTTGAGAGGTCTTGACGTTTCCTAATTTCTGTACACCTGCTAGATTTGCAACATACGGTGTGCTACTGGCTGAAAGCAAGTAGGAATAAGGTGCTTTTTCAACAGGCAACTGGACTTTCTTGTCATCCTGAATACAGATGACATGGCCAAGGTAAACAGTCTTCTGAAGGACACTGCCACGCATGAGACTCTGAAGACAGATCTCACTAGCAGTTACAAGAAAAAGGGCATTGATTTCTTACAACACCTACTGAAGGACAATGCCATTGACAAGCCATAATACAACCATCTTTAATCCTGGGGAAGCCACACCATGCATGTAAGAGACTCCCCAAAATCCACAAAGAGGGAACCCACTCAGACCAATTGTCAGCAGCATCAATACTGCAACACTGCAACACATCTAACCACCTTATTAGCTCCTCTAGTTGGCAACACCACCCATCGCATCAACAATTTACAGGATTTAGCCAGGAAGGTTTGTACACTAAAATTGAAATTGGAAACCATGGTTTCCTACGATGTGACTTCCCTCTTCACAACCAGAAAGCCTCTTGAAAAAGCACCTTTGGGACAACCATGACCTGGATGGCTGAGAATCTCCATATCATGCCCCTGTTAGAATCTGACTCCGAGGGAGAGGAGGAACAGCCAACAGGGAGTGGGAGTGTGGCTCTGGAGGTTGTGGAGGAAATTGGGGAAGGGCACAAGCCAGCTGGGCATTCAGAGGAAGACCCAGGCCCATCCCCTCTTCATCCTAGGGCACGCAGGGAGGAGCAGATAAGGGAGAAACGTGAATGGCATGGTCTATGGGGAGGAAAGGGCCTTGATCCCCTTCATGGGCTGCAGCTGTGAGGACTGTTTAAAAGGACAAACTGTGCATGGACCAGTGCTGGAAGCAAAGCGTGAAATAATTCTAGTCTTTCAGTTCTTATCTGAGTTCTGGCGTGCTTCCCAGTGTGTGTATTGTGATATCTGTGGATGCTTTCAAGCCCTTATCCTGCCTTGTCTTATTAATTGCTTCAGTGTGGTTTGTGCTGTTTTTTCTAATTATAATTTATCTGTATTGTGAGTTTGAATGGAATTTCTTCCTTTTGGCAACTGTTTGTGGGGGAGTTTTTTCTCCAGTCAATGATAATTGGACCTTTGAAGCCAAGTGGAAGGAATTAAAGGGACTTCACCTGTTTTTGTGACTTTGTTGCTTTTGTATCCCATCCTGGGTCATCACACTCCATAGGCAAGTAGGAATAAGGTAATCTACCATGGTTTTCCATCATTCAGAGTTGGAATGTTACATGCAGCTTGTTGAAAAACCTATCCAGGTCCATCCAATACAGATCACCCCTTCACTCATTCTGAATTGCTTGAGCTTGGTCATCAAGCATTTGACACAACATGTGTTGGGTAAGAGGTTAGTTGTAAGTTCAGTCTAAGAAAAGTTCCTTAGAAGAGATGCAAACTTTGTCAAGGATTGCTAAACAATCATCCCTCAACCAGGGAGTCTCCAGCTATGACCTGAGAAAGTGTGAGAAGTTGCTTGCTCAATGTTCTCAACGAGTGTGCATGGTTTACACAACACCTAATTCCATTATTAGACCATAGAAGTAAACATGCAAAAAGTCATAGCCCCATACTGATAATCAGATAATTTGGACACAAGATAGAATTTTATTTATATCTTTAATCATTAAATTTAAGACCCTAGAAGGAGTGCAGAGAAGAGCAGCAAGGATGATAAGATGACCGAATCATACAATGAACAGTTGAGGGAATTCAATGTGTCGAGTCTAATGACAAGAACTAGGGATGACATGATATCAATCTTCCAAAACTTGAGGGGCTCTTCCAGAAAAAAAGGAGGGGATCAACCTGTTTTCACCCAATGGCAGGACAAGAAGTAACAAATGGAAGATCATTAAAGAGAAATCCAACTAAGGAGAAATTTCCTGAAAGTGAGACCAATTAATCGATCAATCAGCCTGTCTTCAGAAGTTGTGGGTGCTTCATCTCTGGAGGTTTTCAAGATGAGATTGGACAGTTCATTTGTCCAGTATAGTATTATAGGCACTCCATGCTGGCTCAGGAATTCTGGGAGTTGAAGTCCACAAGTCATAAAGGGGGCCATAGTTCCCCACCTCCGCTTTGATTCTTGACGAATGTATCTTTTCTTTTATGTACACTGAGAGCATTTGCACCAAGACAAATTCCATGTGTGTCCAATCCCACTTGGCCAATAAAGAATTCTATTCTATTCTATTCTATTCTATTCTATTCTATTCTATTCTAT